TCACGGCTGATGTGTGCTCTTCTAGCCTGTGAAGCCATTGGGTTGCAGAATTCGAGGAGGCCATTGAACGATCCCATATGTGGAGAAGGTTATCATTTCCTCCGCTTGCTAATTGCTGCCCAGAGGCTGACCACTTTAGGCCACAGACCTCTTGATGGTGTCCTCTGTAGGTTTCCACAATGTGAGACCTTACTCTAACATCATTGTTGATGATCAGTCCATCCATTCCTCCAGTAGTTAGAATATGGTTGTTCCAATCGAGGGAACCCACTCGAGATCGGTGCCCGCCACGCAGAGTTCTCAGCTGTAGAAACATATCCACCCAGGTAAGAAATGTTGACAACAATGGGTGTATATACACATCCATAAATCCAAGATTTCAGAGAAACCACTGACCTGTCTATTGGCTAGAGAGTCCCACAGTTGGACTTCGGAATTGTTCAAGCCAACTGCAATGTGTCGTCCGTCGGGAGCCCAACTGACGCTTGTTACAGGACCATCCTCGTCGTCAATGGTGACAAGTTCAGAGGTAGACCCATCGGAAGCATCCCACAAATACACTGTGTTACCAAGGGCAATGGCTAGAACGTTGCTGCTACCCCAATCAAGTAGATTCAAGTAATAATCATCTACAAGTTCTGGAGCATCTAATGTCTTCTCCGAAGACTGTAACCCATCAAACAAAATCAGAAACTCTAGAATATTGAAGACGCCATGGAAAGCAGAACCACCCACACAACAAAGAATCAAGAAAGAAAGAAAACCCACTTGAGGAATGTGCCTTCTCGGCTTCGTGGGCTTTGCTTGGTGAACAGATATGGCAGATTCTGGGAAGTTTGCCTCAACCGAGGCGGGGGGCTTGTTCTTGAAAGCGAGAATGCGAGTTCTGTTCAAGTTCAAAGTCTCAGCAAGCTGCTTCCTGTAAGCCTCTTTTGATGGAGAGATCGTTGCCTGGTTCTCTTTCTCCACTCTCCCTTCCGTTAGCATGTAATGGGCAAAGTCGAAATCCATGGCAGAACGATTCGGAATGAATCTGTCCAACTGCCAATTCCACAGATGAAAACGAATGAGAAAGATTTGAGTTAGTCTCTAGGGAAGGTCTAAAGGAAAACCCAGAATATGAGACATTGAGAAAGAGAAAAAAACATTAAATCTGCTTCTTTGTTGAATCGTAGACGAAACAAATGGGCATCAGAAAATTTCCATTATCATATGCTGAACGGCCAACTTACATTTTCCCTTGAATTTCTTCTCTGTAGGTTCTGCTCTTGAAGAGGGTTTCTAGATTGGGTTTTGTTCGAAGAGGTGAAAGGTCCTGCATCCATAGGGTTAGCAAAAAACAAACAAGAAAAAAGAAAAAAAAAAGAAAAGAAAGAAGAGAAAATGAAAATGAAAATCTGCAAAACAAAGGATCAGAGACACAAAAACAGAAGTAAATGAAGCCTGTAAAACAGGTAAAGTCAGATGCAGTATTAGTGAAAAGAAACTATGAAGAATCAGGAATAAACAGAACAACAACGAAATGATCAATGATGGCGTTCGTTATCTTTGACTGAGCGCTTAGAGAGGTAGATGTTGAGATAGTACGAGGTCACAAGAAATGGCGATTATAAACATTTAAATTTTAGTTCTAACGGCTAGTTTGCAACGGCTCTTTCTTGCGTTAACTCGCGGGAGTTGTTTTATTTTATTTTTTTTCGGCCAACTCGCGGGAGTTGTTGACTCGCTATCAGAACCGTGAATTTAGAATCTTTGTTCTTGGGATTGTTGATCCATTCCTTGTAAACTATAATGAAGCATACAAATTTTCAGCAAAAAAAAAAAAATCTCCAATAGAATCCAATGGCTTGCCAGTTCTCATTCTATTTTCATAAACCGAATCTTACCGAATCATTCAAACCACCCAAACCCTGCACTAAGCCCAAAGCCCACATTCATTGTCTTTGGAATTACGGGCCTAAAAGAAGCAATTCAAAGTACAATCCAAGCCCAAATGGAAATATGGGAAGAGGACAAAGGGCCAATGGGATAAGCCTTAGCCAAACTATGCGGCAGCAGCAGCAGGAGACTCGGTCAAGTAGTTGTAGTATCTGGGATAAGCCTTAGCCAATTCTGTTTTAGTCGATAAGGCATTTTGTTTGAGTCGATTAAGTCGTTTCTGTTTTAGTTGATAAGCTCTAAGTTCATGGGAGTAGTTCCTATTTTAATTCCTAGTTTGTAGCACCAAAAGGCTATAAATGAAGCCTTAAGGAAGTGAATAAAGGCATTGGCATTCATACCCTCGAGCTCTTCCTCTCTCTTCTCTTACTCCGAATCTCTCTCTCTCCCTTTTCTTAGAACTTAGCCATATCAATTGGTATCAGAGCCGGTTCCGACCATGGATACTCGTGGCAAACCAACGCAGAATTCCACAATGAGGTCAACGAGACCTTAGCACGACACGAGTCAAGCTTCGACTAGGTGAACATTGTCTTACAAGCAGTGTTAACCAAACTCCAAGCCTTTCGAGCATCACGAACCACTCCCGAGACCAACCCTTTCGCTCATGAAGAGTCCTCACACCCACATACTTCCCGTTCCAGCTCCATCCATGATCACTCTCATCAGCACGTCAAATTGTCATTCCCAAAATTTAATGGGGAGGACTCAACCCAAGCGGCTGGATTTACAAGGCAGAGCAATATTTTGATTTCCAAAATATTGTATCAGACCAACAAGTGCAACTAGCTTCCTTTCATTTAGAAGGCATCGCCTTGCAATGGCACAGGTGGTTGACAAAACATCACGGACCGCTCACATGGGAAGAATTCTCCAAGGTTGTGCTACAACGATTTGGTCCAACCGACTACGAGGACCTGTCAGAAGCTTTAACGCGCCTTAAGCAAACCACAACTGTGGCAGCTTATCAAGAAGCCTTCGAAAGACTCTCCCATCGAGTTGACGGCCTGCCCGAGAATTTCCTCATCGGCTATTTCATTGCAGGACTTCGTGATGACATTCATATAGACGTGAAGATTAAGCAGCCTAGGACTTTTAGATACGATCGGGGTGGCTCGACTAATTGAGGAACGAAATCAATTACAGCGGAAACCGAACCAGCAAGTTCGGTCCTAACCAGTCGTAATAACCCAAAAGGGGTCACCTCACCCAATGGCTGGTGTGCTCGGGCCTCCTCCAACCCAGTGCGCGAACCCGGTTTCCAATGCTCCTTCGGCCACATTCCAGCGACTCACCAACCAGGAGGCGTGAGAGTGACGCGGGAAGGGGTTATGTTATTATTGTGATGAGAGATTCACTTCTGGCCACCGTTGCGAACGACCACAATTATTCATGATCGAGGATCCCGTATAGGCGGACATGGAGAATGTCGAACCAGAGGCAAAAAACCAATAAGCTATTCCTGAGATCTCCTTCCATGCAATTGCAGGAGCTGAACACCCGCAAACCATACGTGTCCTAAGTAAGTTGAAAAACAAGAATGTGACGGTACTAATTGATGGCGGCAACACCCACAACTTCATTGATCAGGCCATAGTCTCTAAGTTTGGGTTACCTGTGAGTCGGGACAAGAAATTCCAAGTCATGGTCACCAACCGAGAAAAGATATAATGTGTGGGACAGTGTCGGGCTCTCACTCTCACCATTCAAGGGCATCCCATTACTACCGACTACTACGTTCTTCCAATCGCGGCATGCCAGTTGGTATTGGGAGTACAATGGCTAGAAACTCTTGGACCCATCGAGATGGATTACAAACAGTTGACCTTAACATTTAAGAGGGAAGGAATCTCTTGCACCTTCTAGGGATTGGGACGAGCCAGCATCGAGGCCTTAACCGACAAGGAGTGCAATGGGTTACATGGTGCGGGGTTCCTTTTCCAAATAGTTCCTTCCAATTGCAGTAGCCAACCAAGTTGCTATCCGCCTGAGATGGACGATCTCCTAACCGAGTTTTCACACCCACCAACTTGCCTCCCAAACGACCACATGATCATCAAATCCTGCTCCTTCCCGACAAAGGACCAGTTAGTGTGAGAACGTATCGATACCCATATTATCAGAAGACGGAGATAGAGAAGATGGGGGAGCTTCTGCAGTCAGGATTGGTAAGACCAAGCAACAACCCATTTTCGTCACCGGTTTTGTTAGTAAAGAAGGCTGATGGAGCTTGGCGATTTTGTGTGGACTATCGAGCACTGAATGACATCATGGTTAAAAATAAGTATCCAATTCCTGTGATCGATGAACTCCTAGATGAGCTCCATGGGACCAAATTTTACTCCAAACTGAATCTACGGTCTGGATCATATTCGAGTGCGAGAAGAAGACATTCCGAAAACAGCCTTCCGGACACATGAAGGGCATTACGAGTTCATAGTGATGCCGTTTGGCTTGACAAATGCACCTGCAACCTTTCAAAGCCTCATGAACAATCTCTTCTGTCCTTACCTCTGAAAATTTATTTTGGTCTTCTTCGACGACATTATGGTTTATTCAAAATCATGGGAAGATCATATATCTCATTTGCGAATTGTTCTAACAATCTTGTCCTCTAACAAATTGTGTGCAAAAATGTCAAAATGTCGATTTGGTGTTTCGTAGGTCGAATACTTGGGACATTTAATTTCGGAGCAAGGCGTGTCGGTTGATCCAACCAAAATACAAGCTGTTATCGAATGGCCTACACCGACAACAACAAAGGGGGTTCGTGGTTTCCTTGGTTTAGCCGGTTACTACAGGAAGTTTATCCGTAACTTCGGAAGCATAGCGGCTCCCTTGACCCAACTCTTGACCAAGGGAGGATTCCAATGGAACGAGACAACAGAGCTGGCCTTTTAACAGTTGAAGAAAGCACTAACTTCACCACCCATTTTATGTCTTCCGGATTTTTCTCAACGACTTGTGATTGAGTGCGATGCGAGTGGAACAGGAATTGGTGCGATCCTTACCCAGCAAAATCGACCAGTGGCCTATTTTAGTGAAGCACTAAAGGGTTCGGCCTTGGCATTATCCAACTATGAAAAGGAGATGTTAGCTATCGTCAAAGCCATTAGGAAATGGCGCCCATATCTTCTTGGGAAGCCCTTTACAATCCGCACTGACCAAAAAAGCCTAAAGCATCTACTCGAGCAACGGATAACTACACCAGCACAAACACGGAGGCTGCCTAAGATACTTGGTTATGATTACGAGATTGAGTATAAAAAGGGGGCTGAAAATCAAGGTGCGGATTCCTTGTCGCGTATGGTTGAATTTCAAATTCTGTACATCTCTATACCATGAAGAAACGACCCTCCCTCAAGCTGCTCCAACGAGATGGAGTGTGGTTCAAGGGGGGCAAAATTTATTTGAGCCCCGCCTCCACCTTGATTTCTAAGGTAATTGTTGACTGCCATTCATCCCCAGTAGGTGGGCATTTTGGATTCCATAAAACCCTCTCTCGTATCAAGCACAGTTTCCTTTGGCCTAACATGCGTCGGGCGGTGAAGGAATTCTTGCAACAGTGCGACGTATGTCAGTGATTCAAGACAGATTGCATGAAGCCAACGAGATTGCTTCAACCGCTACCGGTTCCCACGCAAATGTGGACAGATATCTCGATGGATTTTATCGAAGGGTTACCGTCTTCCAATGGGTATACAGTTATCATGGTAATTGTGGATCGGTTGACAAAATATGCCCACTTCATATCCTTAAAACACCCATTCACCACCACGACTGTCGCTAAGGCCTTTGTCGCCAACATTGTTCACCTACATGGAATTTCAACCTCAATTGTTAGCGACCGCGACAAGGTGTTTATTAGCTCATTCTAGCAAACGCTTTTCCAAATGCATGGGACGAAATTGTGTATGAGCTCAAGTTATCATCCCCAAACCGACGAACAAACTGAAGTCGTCAACCAAACATTGGAGCAATATTTACGATGTTTTGTAGGAGGCTAGCCGCGGAAATGGCTCGACTGGATTCCCTGGGCGGAGTATAGCTACAACACATCCACTCACTCTTCCACCAAGATGACACCCTTCGAAGCAGTTTATGGTATCCCACCCCCAAGTCTACTGGCTTATGTACCAGGAATTGCTCGAGTAGGGGCCGTTGATGAATACCTCCGTGACCGGGACATCATTCTACGTGAGTTGCAACACAACCTTTGGGTAGCGCGGAATCGGATGAAATGTCAAGCAGAGCAACACCGACGGGAAGCTTCATTCAACGTGGGTGATTATGTGTATGTGAAATTGTAGCCTTACCGACAGACTTCTGTGGCTTTTCGGCGCTCTATGAAGCTCACCCCACGTTACTTTGGGCCATACCCAATCATTGAGAAGGTAGGGTTGGTGGCCTACCGATTGGCCTTGCCTCCTGGCTCTCAAATCCATAATGTGTTCCATGTCAGTTTGTTATGGAAGCATTTGGGACTAGTCACCCCAACTTCCACCCAACTACCCCCAATCTTGGATACATCGACCATCCTTCCACAACCAGAAGCTATCTTAGATCATCAAATTATCCGTAAAGGCAAATATCATCCAAAATCTGAAATCTTGGTGAAATGGGTAGGAGCACCAGCTGAGGACGCAACCTGGGAAAATGAGTGGCGTTTCACCAAATCATATCCTGACTTCCTTGTGGACAAGGGTCCTTCAGAGGGGGGATGATACGTGCACAAATTATGCGACAGCAGCAGCAGGAGACTCGGTCAAGTTAGTTGTAGTATCTGGGATAAGCCTTAGCCAATTCTATTTTAGTCGATAAGGCATTTCTGTTTGAGTCGATAAGTCATTTCTGTTTTAGTTGATAATCTCTTAAGTTCATGGGAGTAGTTCCTATTTTAATTCCTAGTTTGTAGCATCAAAAGGCTATAAATATAGCCTTAAGGAAGTGAATAAAGGCATTGGCATTCATACCCCCGAGCTCTTCCTCTCTCTTCTCCTACTCCGAATCTCTCTCTCTCCCTTTTCTTAGAACTTACCATATCATAATATTTAAAAATCTACATATAAAAAAAATAAAACAAACAGAAGTGTTATAGCTTCAAATCTTGCTGACCTACTATTGTCATTTTAACAGTGAGCACTGACCAGAGTGGGTTGCTCAAGTTGAAACCCAATTCTCATAAGTTTCTAATGGGTCAGTCGGTTTCTCAAGATTTTATAAATATATGATCTAAAATCAGAATAACAATCTGTCCCCAGTTTTTACAATCTCACTGTCTGGTTCAACAACTCGGGTTGTCAGGTTGGGTTAGGATTGACCTCAACTTGGATCCTACGTGCACCCCTAGCCACCCCACCCAAGCCGTATTACTCTATTAGGACGAGAGAACATAACATTTAATTGCAACTGAGTTCCTCAACAACAAAGGTAATACACTTACCAGATAATATGGATATTTTCCTATTGAATCCTCTTTCCCTACTTTTTCCTATCTTTTCTTTCAAACCAAATACAGTCTTAGGGTCTTGTTGGTAATGGAAGATGGCTATTAGGACGGAATTGCAGTAATCTCATGTTTGGGCGGTGGTCACCGCTATAATGGAGACAATAGGTAACCAATACTCTCTTTGGAGGGGGGTAAATGGTAAGTTACCTATCCACTGAAAAATCAAATCACATGAATTCTCGTGTCTTACCTAAATAACACTTTGCCTGGTCAAATGCTGTATATCCAAGCAACATTTTCCTAGGAATCACTTGTACGAAGAAACACATTACTTAGGTAGCACAAAACGAACAAGGCCTAATGGTCATTATTCAAACCCATATAGTTTGGATAAGGCTTAGTGATGATGATGATAAGGAATTTTTATCCTACAACTGTATGACATAATTTTCATGAAATAAAATGGATTCCTCAAATTACTTTTCACTTTGTTGTCCTAGAGGCCATGTAGCCAATGGCTCGACTAATGACTGGTTCAAATTCGAGTAGGGTAGACAATTAGAAAGGCATTGGCAGTCCTTTGTTCATTCTTCGTGGCTTTAAGTTGTCTACTTTCACAATAAATCAAATGTATATCAAGAGAACTTATACATTTTTAGGGAAAATCCATGATGCCGAACAGACATTATAGGAAAAAAAGATTTGATCAATCAAAACCCATGTAAAATCTGATGAAAACCCATTTACTTGGTTTCCACTTTTATGATACTGATTGATTGGTTATAATTTTTTTCTGGTATCTTTGTGGCATCATAGTCAAATCCTTACTTTTAATTTAAAAAAAAAAAAAAAAAAAAAACAAAGTCCAGATCTCCTACAAGATGCCAACCAAGTGGTCGGTAAGGTTTCCTGTTGGTCGTAGCGGAGATTTGG